ACTAGCTGTGTGACCTTGGGCAAGTCACTTAACCCTGATTGCCTCACTTAAAAAAAAAAGAGATGAAAACAAGATGAGGCAGCAGATTGGGATCTATGAGATGAGTGGGAGTGAGAAGTCTAAGATGACACTGAGGTTACAAAATAGGATAGCTGGAAGGTAGGGTGGTATCCTTGAAAGTAATAGAGAAGTTCAGAAAAGGAGCAGTCATTCCAGTTGAGACCAACTCGCCATGACCCTGTTTGGGGTTTTCTTGGCAGAAGAGTGGTTTGCTATTTCCTTCTCCAATTCTTTTGACAAATCAGGAAACTGAGGCAAACAGGGTTAAGTGACTTGCCCAGAATTACACAGCTAGGAAGCCCAGATTTGAACTCCAGAAGAGGTCAATCTTTCCATACTCATATAGTATATCTACCCATCTCATATGGCATGGTCCTCTACAGGATCCATCTTATTGGCTAAATTTCTGAAAAAATGAAATTTCATTGTATAATGAGATGAGCATTGGTTGCCAGGAATATTCACTTATTGAGAACAGTTCATTCTTGGACTGCCAGATAAATGACAGGTTTCTGTAAAACTCGGGATATAGATATGTTTATGGATGACTATTGAAGTCACCCACATTCATAGAATGCTTTAAAGTTACAAAGGCTTCCAATACAAAAGCACTTGTCTTAGACTCACAAAGAGCTTTTCTCCTGGTCTTCTGAGGTGGGTGGTTCAGAATTATTGTCTCCTTTTTACAAATGTGGATACTAAGGCTCCAAAGACATTAACAGACTCAAGATTACTGTTTTAGGCATTGCAGAAGACAGTTCTTCTAAGTCCTACTCCAACACTGTTTCTACTTTATTAAGTTTCTGGCTGTCTTATGCCTGTTAGAAGTAATTTACATTCATCCATCTGTCCATCTATACATCTATCTAAGAATGAACAGCAATATTCTCCCTCAGTTGTATTGATGACTTTTGTTTTTGTATCACATTCATTTCCTATTCCCCAATTCTTAACTTTTATACCCTCGCTTGTAAGATGGGAAACAATTGAGCAAAATCACCAGTGACTGTGACATTCTGCATCCTTAGTCTCCACCTCTATGCTGAGAAGTATATTTTGTGATTTGGCATTACAATTAATCAGCATTTGACTGTCCTTCAGCATAAATGAGATTCTTCTTCACTTTAGAGATAGTAACTACTAAATTATATGCCGGATTTTGTGTTAATCTGAATATCATGGTATTATTGTATTTCAGAACCCAAAAGGATCTTATCACCCAAGGGTAGTCTATAACTAAGATCCTTCTTGTAGGATATCTTCATTTTCCAATTTCTTTAGCTCCCATTTTGCTTCTTATATGATTCCACTTGATTTCCATTTCTAGTTCTATGACTCCTATCATTTTCCATGACTGACATTTGTTTCCAAAGCAATCAGTCAAAACATGTCTCTTGCCCATACCAGAAGAGTTTTTGCTCCCATGAGTATCATCCACATTCATAATCTCTGTCCAGCAAGGTCTATTCAGAAGCATTCAAGGCAAACAAATATCTTATCAGCATAAGTCTGGGTAGATAATGAGCAAGAAGGACAATTTCCTTAGTAGTGGAAGTTTTTCCTTGAAGCAACCTTATGAACTATTATTTTTTTTCTGGAAATTTACTGTCAAAACTTTGGCTGCCTTAATTCCCCCTTTTGCCTCCTACAGGAACTCTTGTCTTTTCATCTTCCTTTAAGCTTAGTACCTTTTATCCGTCTGACCTCAAGACTTCACACCTTGCTTCATCTCTTCCTTAAAATTTGATATATTAATCTTGTTTTATGCTTCAGTGAACTGAACTGGAAATATGCCCCGTTTTTTCATTCCTCTTACATTACTTAGAACTTCAGAAAGTTACCTAGGTCAAGTTTTATTTTTGCTTTTCTTAAAGTTACAGATACCACCCAGTAGAAGTTTTGAGGACTCTCCCATTGCTGCCGTCACTTTTCCTCCCTCATTTCTTTCTTCCTTGGTATAGATTCTCATCTCAGCTTTCACAGAGGTGGGAGGGGCATTACCAAACAGGTATGATTTTGTTTTGTTTCCATTTTCACTTTTATTTGGTCTGTTTTGTTGATTTCATTTTGGGAAGAAGACAGTACATTTTGATTTGGATCTAGTCATAATAACTGAGCTAACCATGCCATCTTCGTGGAAGGTAGGAATCACCTTACTTCCTTATCCCCTTTTCTATTATTACTAAGCTGTTTGGTTATTTTGGTTAAAAACAAAAAACAAAAAACAAGCAGTGTTGTTGTTCAGTTGCTTCAGACTCTTTGTGACCCTATTTGTGGTTTTCTTGGCATTCTTTTTACAGATGAAGAAACTGAAGCAAATAGGGTTAAGTGACTTGTGAGGCCAGATTTGAACTCAGAAAGATGAGTCTTCCTGACTCCATTCCCAGTGCTGTATCCACTGTGCTACCTATGGATTAAGGGAGAGGAGAGGGAGTTTCCATGTTAATGCTCAGCCATGGCCAAGGATCTCTTGCCTGGGGATAGAATGATGCAGTCTTTGTGATAGTTCTAAGATTATAAGCAGATAGTAAGTCAGTCAGTCAACAAGCATTTATTAAGCACCTAGTATATCAAGTACTGTGTAGTGTGTAGGGGTACAAAAAAGTGAGGGAGTCTACCTTCAAGGAGCTTATATTCTACTATTGAGATATTATATTTTGACAGATAGGTTAATACAGGATATACACAAAATAAATCACAGTGAGTTGGTAGTAACACCTCGGGGAATCACGAAAGACCTTTTGAAAGAGTCAAGAAGGCAGCTAGGGATTCTAAGAGGCAGAGGTGAGGATGGAGAGTGTTTCAGGCCTGGTGGACAACCTCTACATGGCAGCAAGAGAGATGTACCGTTCCAGTTTAGCTGGATTGCAGGGTGTGTGTATGCACATATATAATCTTAATAATCCTAAATAATGTGTGATTATTCCAGTAACCATTTTGGCTTCAGAAGATACAATTTCCTCATCTTGTAGAATGAGGTAATATTGGATTAGACCACCTTGAAAGTCATTTTTGCTCTCTGATTCTAATACTTCTACTCTGGGTTCTCCATTTATGAAAGGGATACCCTGCCATTGAGACATTAGAACCCTGAGAATAAACATGAGAACTATTCAAATTCTCTGGTTTATGACAGCATTTTTAGTTCTTTCTCATTCTAGGTGGGTTTTTAATAGGTGAGAGAAGGAAAAAGATATCTGAGGGGCCAGCCTCTCACTATGTCTGAAACATTAATGCCTAGAATGATGCACTGGAAAGCAAACTTAGTAAGTTTTGTGTTGACTCTAGATTGGAGTAATAACCGATACTGTGTAAGAGTAGGGTTTGAATTAAAAAATGGCCAAGGGTCAAATGACCCCAGTGATAAGAAATCAATATGTTCAGAGAAAATTAAGTTCGATGCCAAATAGCTCTTTAATGAACTTATCATGTAATATCGTATGTTTTCTCTCTCTCTTAGACCGAAGTTCTTGAATCTTAAAATTTTTTTTGTTATGAATTTAACAGTTATCAACAAATATTCTCATATAGTTGTTGTTTTTGTTGTTCACTCGTATCTGACTCTATGTGACCCCATTTGGGGTTTTCTTGGCAGAGGTACTGGAGTGGTTTGTCATTTCCTTCTCCAGCCCATTTTACATATGAGGAAACTGAGGCAAACAGAATGAAATGATTTGCCCAGGATCACGCAGCCAGTAAGTGTCTAAGGCCAGATTTGAACAAAGATCTTCTTTACTTCAGGCCCAAAACTCTACCAATTATGCTACCTAAGATTGTGCATCCAATTGTACAGCTTCTGCCATGTACATTTTATTTTTAAAGTATGTATTCAATTTAATAAGGTAGTAAAAATGGCCCTTTTGTATACCACTTCTGAACTTTTAATGTATTTTAAATGTTTTATTTATACTGTTTTTCTTTTTCTTCATATTTATTACTATCTCCCAAGTCCTTACCCCTCCCCCAAAACCCTTCCTTGTAACAATTAAATAGCTAGATTTAGTTTCCTAAGGACAGAGGACCCCATCTTATCTAAACTTTGTACAGTACTCAACATTAGTCAAGACAAATGCAGAAAACTCTTACCTTAAGGAGGGAAATGCTGGTCAAATGTAAGATGAAGAATATTTGCTGGCTGTTTTGGTGTAAGTCAGAAAGGAAGTGCATTGATTCTGGGTGAGTTAAGCTTGAAAATAGTGAGGCATGTAATAGCCCATATAGCTTGGGTTCAAGTACAGTTTTGGGCTCATACCAGCTGTGTGACTGTGAGCAAGTCATTTCATCCCTCAGTGCCTGAGGCAAATCTCTAAATCTATACATTGGGGAACAGTTGCTGATCTGCATTGTAGTTAAGTCAGTGAGCATTAATTAAGCATTTACTGTTACCAGTGCTGTGCTTAGTTCTGAGAGTACAGATACAAGTAAGACAGAGTTACTTTTTTTAAAAGAGTTCCTTATATTGATGAAATCATAAATCCAGACCAAAAAAGTCTATCAGTACCTGACACACTATCTTTCACTTATAATAAATTCTTAATGAATAATTGTCCAATGAATAAATGAATGCACTTATGAGATGAACATGTTGGTATCTTTCAGAAGGCAAAAATGATGGTTCCTACCCTCAAGGAGATTAGTCTAATGGGGGTGACAATATATGTATATATGTAGACAGGCATGTACACCATGCAGGCAGCTAGGTGGCACCATGGATAGAGCACCTGGCCTGGAATCAAGAAGACCTGAGTACAAATCTGGTCTCAGACACTTAACCAGCTGTGGGTCCCTGGGCAAGTCACTTAACCCTATTTACCTCACTTACCTCATCTGTAAAATGAGCTGGAGAAGGAGATTGCAAACCATTCTACTATTTTTGCCAAGAAAACCCCAAATGGGGTCACAAAGAATCAGATATGACTAAAACAACTGAACAACAACAATGTACGTGATGCATACATAACAGATGCAAGTGAACTTTGGATGGGAGAGCAATAGAAGATAGTGGACCAGGAAAAGCTGCTTGCTTTATAGTGAAATAATGATGGGAAAATGGCCTACAGCATAAAGTGCTTACAATTATTTCTTTTTTCCAAATTAATTAAATAAGGTATTTTCATGTGTTTATTTTTTTTTAAACGTGCCATATCCACCATTCATCTTACTATTTTCTCCCTATAAGAGCTTCTTTCTTTTAAACAATTAAAACCATACTGACTAAGAAGCCATCTATCTGTCTTAGGGCAGGGAATACAACTAGGACATATCAGTTTTAAAATCTGGTGGGTAAATCCAATGGTTATTTCATTGACTATATGTTTGCTAGTAAATATTACAATGCTTCAGCTACCTTTTAGGTCATAATTCTGGCTTTCTTCGAACACCCTGTCACACTATAGGACCCTGAGTGTATCTTTGACAGCTTTCTAGGGAAATATTAACTAAAAGTAAAAGCTTTTGATAAGATCGTAAAATGCTACTAGTGTTATGGTTCTTTCAAGTTAATAATTAACATTTGTTTACCTGATTTCTTTTTTCTTTCTTTCTTTCTTTTTTTGTAATCATTCTTAAAGCTGTTTACGTGTGTGTCTTGTCCTGGATGGAAACTATAATAGTTCAACTGATTATTTACTGCCCCCTTTTTTTTTTAAAGTTCACAGCGCCCAACCCAAGTTCAAAGGCTGATGGGAGAGAAAAACCCATGAAGAGGTTTGCTTGAAGGAAATTTGCTCAGTGGATGGGATCTTGGCTCACAGGAAAAGATGTTAGACCCTGTCTGGCTCTTTTTCAGCCTTGTGGCTGTGACTGCCGCTCAATTCTCCACGGAAGAAAGGGCTAAGGAATTTCTGGAAACATTTAACAAGGAAGCAGAAGAGATATCTTATCAAAGTTCACTTGCTTCTTGGGATTATAACACTAATATTAATGATGAGAATGTTCAAAAGATGGTGAGTTCTAATGACTATGCATGAGTATTTGTTGCCTTTTAGGGATGATATTGAGCTGAATCACAACTACCAGAATGGAAAAGATAATGAGATTAACAGTCAGGCTCGATTTTGAATGGAGTGGGGGAGGGCTTTCATCTTCATCTCTCTTATTCATGATTCCTAGAATGATTAAATGTAACTCCCTTGTTGTGGTATAATAGAAAGAGCTCTAGACCTAGAGTCAGAGATCCTGGTTCTGCCACTTATGGCTTGTGTGACCTTGGGCAAATCACTTATCTTCTCTTGGGCCTTAGTTTTCTCAACTGTAAAATGAAGGGTTTAGACTCATTAATCTGTAAGGTTCCTTCAACTCTAAATCAATAAGCCTCTGAGCAATCTCTGGCCAGTTTCAAGTAATCTAGTTCCTGCCTTATGCAAAATTGGCATCTATAATTCTCATCTCACTTTAAAATTTCATTGCATTTCTAAATAAATATGATTCATTATTAAAATCACAATGACTCAAACTTCAATGTCAACAGAAGCATATATACAACTTTGTGTAAATGGGGAATTTTGGAGAAACCTAAATTATTCTTAGTAAAAGGATTAGCTAGTAATTAAACCCTGACCATGTGCTGGATAAGTGGGGACTTGGGAATTCTTATCCTAGTTGTCACAGAGCTCTAAGGGACTTCCAAAGGTCACCCAGTCTATCCAGAGGCCCCCAAGCAGAACTATATTTAAACCATCTTACATAGATCCTAAGATGTCCTGGGAAAGTCATGATATTCTGCCTGGCATATATAAGTAAGCATTTCATTGTAAATTAAGAGAAGGCATATTTAATCTCCTATAACAATTTACTCATTTCCCCTACAAAGCATGAAATTGTGTATTTCAGACCCCATAATTTGCCAAATTGTCTCCTAGTACCCAAATATGAGAGACAGAAAGAAGTAGTTTATGATCTGCAAATCAATTCAGGTTGAGTGGCAGATACCAAAAGGCTACATTTCAGACCAGTGAAGAATCCTATGCTAGATGTCTCTACCAGGTTTATCAGGGATGACAATGATGTGTGCTGGAAAGTAAGATACCTGAGAATAGGAGTTTGTGGCACTTCCTAGATACAATGCTTTGAAAAAAAAAATCTCTTTCAGAAATTAAAAAAAAATTGTGTCCTGTTAGAACGTGTGAGCAATGCCTGGTACAAAGTAAGTTGTTGACTGACTGGGAAGATTTGCTCATTTGACTACCTGGCATTCTATTCAATTTTTTAAAAGTTTTCTATATGTTAAATACTAAAACTTAAATACACAATAGAGAAAAGAAAAAGAAACATTATAAACTTAAATACAAAATAAGAAAAGAAAAAAAAAACATGTCATTTACACAGCAGAATGTAAGAGAGGATTCAAAATATGCAGCAATAAATTTCCATTTCAAGAAAGCCAATATAATAAATACTACGCATTGTGTTGAGAGCTGTCCATCTTTTCTTTGCTTCCTTGTAAATTTTCTTTTGTTCTTTGCTGTGTACTTTTCACTTTGCTCTTTCCCCCCTTTTATCTGTCATTTTAGAGCCTATTGACTCAGTTGAAAACAACAAATATGTTTGTTGTTGTTTTCCTTCTTTTCCAAAGCTTTTTAATCCTAGGAGAATCAGTAACTTTAGATCTTTAGTAGCATCCTGTGTTTTGTCAAATCTTTCATGCAGATGGATTTATTTTGTACATTTTTGATGCATTTATCACATAATATTTTGTTTTCATTTAAGCTCCATGAGTCAAGGGATCTTGACTTAATGAAACTTTGTATCTCTTTACACAGTAGGCAGTTAAATGGCTATTGAATAAATGGATGAACAAATAAACCTCTAGTTTTTAATGCAAAGCATCTTCTCTAAAATGGTTGTTTGTGAATTATTTGACTTCTTTCTGTCTAGTGATGAAATGATAGTATGTTTTTTTATTAATTTTCATTGTTTTATGACTGATTCAATTAATTAGTTATGGTGGTGGTAGGTTATGACTAAGTGTAACAGATGGGGAGAGACCTAAAGAATATTTGCACTATGCATCTGGATGTCAGGACTTAACACTTGTTACGAAATGAAACATAGAAATGTTTGTGGAAATAATCCTTGGATTATTAACTATTATGCTGTTATCACTTTACCTACACTTATTTATTAGAGCAAAAACAAGTGGTGACACATAAAACACTTAGAAGAGTTTGTACCTAGCTAAGCAAAAGAAATATATCGACTTCATCATAGGAAAAATGCCAACCCATAAATTCATTCGTTCAATAGACAGTTAAGTGCAACTGTGTGTGCAGAGATACAATGTGCAGAGTGCTGCGTGTCAGTGGAGATACAAAGTTCAGAGAACATAAAATGTACTTGCCCATGATACATTTACATAGTGCCTTCATTTGGTGAGTAGGTAGTGCAAATATTCTCCCCTTTTGACAAATGGGATAACTGAGGCATAGTTTAAGAGACTTGTCCAAGGTCACCATCTAGTAGAAGAACCTGGGTTTCTTGTCTACATAAAACCCTGCCCTCTTGCCAATACATTATCCAGCAAATGGATAATGGAATCTACCCATTTTCAAGGAAGAATGAATAGTACGGTGAGATACTTAAATCCACGCAGTGTGTGTGGTTTTCCAAGTAGGGTGGGTGAAAAGAGAAACAGTTCTTCCGCATAGACACTGCTTATGGCCACAAACCTATTTGTGCTTCCTGGTGGACAGTCGTAAAATGAAGAGTGGACAAGTCACGAAAAAGTCAAAGTTGAAGAATTAGATAGTCCTGTGTGCTTTAGGGCACAAACTTCTGTACAGGGCTTTTCATGTGCTCACAAGACATATGTGTGTGGGAAGGTAAATGCAACCAAAATTGGGTCATTAGCTTATCCCGTTGTCTTTATCAAGTATGTTTGAAGGAGAAAATCTACAATGGAGGAATGGAGAAATTTTCATGTGCCTAATGCGAAAGAGGGGAAAAACTGGGCCGTACAAATTCCCGTGAAGATGACTTTGCATCTTATTTTACCATAGATGAGAATGCATCCTGCAAATGAAGCTCTGAGTTTATGTGGATTTGGTTCAATCTCAAAGATTTCTTATCAATCATATTCTTTGACATACTCTTTGAAAGCCACTCAGAATTTTCCCTGGGTATATCAGAGTTTGGCTTATGTCTAGGTCTTCCTAACAAAAAGAAAGAGGCCTTTTGTATCATTCAGGTTAACATAGCAGCTGGTATACCATAACATTTATTTACCCTGTAAATAATCCAGTGAGTAAAAAGTCCAGTGAGGCTCAATGATTCTCTTTTAGAAAAGACTTTAGATTTTGGTTAAGATAACTGAACAATTTTGCAGATAAGGAACTAGATACCAGAGAGCTTGTTAAGGAACTCATCCAAGATAACACTGACTGCAGGAACACCCAGGATTTGAACTCACATTTTCTAACTTCAAATCCATTATTCCTTCCACCTTAATATGGTGCTAAACAAGTGGGTGAAAGCTATTTTTTAATGATCAAGTCTCCTTTTTTTAGCCTGAGAGGAAATCATTGTTCAGAAGCTATGTTATTTTTAACACTGAGTAAAATGCCCCTAATGACTTAGCAAAAGCTTGCATTTGTGTGATGCCCTTTGAGGATGAAAGGTACGATGATCCCTATCCAGTTTGGATTCATCTCCATGATCTCAAAGGGCAACTATTAATTGGAGATTATTTGTTCATATTAAACTTTTAAAAATATTCAAAAGTATCCTTTTAAATTTAAAGAATGCATATGATGAAGCACATTTAGGAGGACTGACATAAATGGTAATATGTTGGCAAATGTTAGAGGAAGATTGTAAAATTTTCCTTACAAAATGACAGGCTCCAAGGTATTAGTTACAATCCAGGAAAAGGAATTGAACAAAGTCACTGAATCAATCAATTTTTATTTATTAATAAATAATAAATTTTTATATTTATTTATTAAGTGCCTACTATGTGCCAGGCACTGGGGTGTATATACAAAGACAAAAGTGAGTCACTCTTTCCCCTCAAGGAACATACACAGGTTACACCTCACATGCTGAAGGCCTTCCTCTAGGTTTTTTTTTTTTTTATTTAACCAGAAAAGCACTGAGATTAGCCATCTGTTCAGCTTCTCCTACCTACTTTTCTGCTCTTACATTTCCTTAGTAATATGCCACTTATTGCGTTTGGGTCTCAATTGGAAATAAAATGCTTATGCCCAGCATGTATATCTCTCTATTGCCCTATTGCCTGTAACTATGATTCTTTGGATGTCATGGTGATTCAAGGTCCACAATCATATAGGGATCACTGGGAGAATATTTGTGATAAAAAAAAAATAGGTTTTTGCACCATGGAGTAGCTTGGGATTATAAAAAGGACTTCACATTCCCAGATGTAATTCAGCTTGCTCTTTTCCTTTCATTCAATTCTGGATGTAACTAATTGTCTGTCTGTAATGCCTGTTCCAGATTTTCATACTGTTGTACTAACTCAGTGGACTGGCCATCCAACAACATGCCATTGTCTGAATAGTAGGCACTTTTCAACCATTTAGTTTTTCCTATATGGATGACTACACCAATCTCTTTTGAGTAATTATGGATCTCATAGAAGAGGTCCTTTAATAAGTAGGAACTTGATTAATCAGGACAGTATCATACATAAACAAGAGCATCTGGAAGAATTTAACATCCCTAAGGAATCCTTTTTCCATCTGGATCTTTCAGAGTACAACTTAGATGTTAATAGTTGAACAAGAATATGTCCTTCTCTTGATGATAATATGCAGTCATTAAACAGTTATGGTTGCATTATTCAAGAGATCTTGTATGACTTAAGGTATACAGGAGAGGCTTCTTACTGAAGGAGAGATTTTAAGGCCGTGTTTTGCTCTACCAAATCAAATGCCTTTTTTGTAATCAATGAATTATAAAAAAACATTGTACTCTTATATTAATTGTT